GTACGCTGGCTCCCTCGGCCAATAAAGCGAGATGAGCACCGCAACCCCAGAGTCAGCCATGACTGGACCTAATGGTCGGGGGTCCCTTTACCTTTATTCCCTTTTCTGCCTGTGGGGCTGGGTGGCCTAAGCTAAGTTCATAATACTAGTTCAGGGGTCTCCAAGCTTTCCTTGCCTCGGGCTGGTGTCTCTAGCGACGATTGTGCGGCGGGCTGGAGGGCGGGGGAGCGCGTGCCCTATACGTGCGCACATATGCTATTTCCGGTGCATATCCGAGTCAGGGGTAGCCCATATGCATGCACACAAGCTATTTCCAGTGCTCCTCCAACCCGGAAATGGGTCCCCGCGTGAGGCTGGAAAGAGCGGGCAGCGGGGGTCACCGCAGGCCGGATAAACGAGTCCCTCGGGCCTTATCCGGCCCCCAGGCCATAGGTTGGTGACCCATGTACTAGTTCATCCCTTGACTCCAGGGAATCCTTAGACTTCCAGTATGGAAACAATGGCTTGTTTGGAAACAGTGGCAAAGAATTCTCAGCACAAATTCTTTGGTGGGGAAACAAGGCATTTAAACTGCTGTAAATCCACTATATGTTCACAATGTAAACAAGTTCTTCACTGAGTTCTTAGGAAATCATGTTGATAATTATAATCTGAAAACAACAATTATAATTATTTACTGACTGTGGTCCAGAAAAAACTTATTTTTTGTAAATTATTAAACCCTTCCCCCCTTTTTTATCTGTCTTGCTCCAGGTGTATGAATAGAAAGTGAAGGTTTTTGCTTTTTTTAAAAAACCCACCTCTTTTTTGAAACATAAATTACATATGTAGAAGATGTTACCCAGTTAATTCTAATGAAATAACAATGAATTTTAATATATGTGTGTGTGTGTGTGTGTGTGTGTGTGTGTGTGCGCGCGCGCGCGCATATATATCTAGGCATGTTGTTTGGGGAGGGGGGGGAAACCCACATTCACGACCAAGTTGATATGGTAGCTTAAAACATGAAAAGTTGTGAGTTTGTACAATCTAGGGTTGCCATATTTCTAGAAGTAAAATTCAGAACACAAGAAATTCCGGACATATTGCAACCCTAGTACAATCACGATCTAAATCCTACAGGGAGCCTATTTATGAAGAGCTGGCTCCCTCCTGGCCAGACCTTTCTCCTAGGTCTTCCACTGAAGCCAGAGGGCGCACATGGTCAATGAGCATCCAACTGAGGGGCAGGGCTAGTGAACGTGTCCCCACTTCTCTTCCTCAGACAATTGGGGAGAATGCCTGAAAAGTACCTGTGTTTCCTGTTTTTGTGCTTCAATACAAAGCGCTGAGCGTCCTCACACAGGGTTGCACTCCTCTCCTGCTTGCAGGTCACTGTGAGAACAGAATTCTGGATCTTTAGCCAGATCCAGCAAGGCTCTTTGTAAGCTCTTATTTTGGGGCCCATGCATCTCCACCCACTGTGGATGTTCAGCCCAGTCTCAATGCATACCTTACAGAGAACCATGAACACAGTGCAAACTTGTACTTCACTTTCCTCGGATTATTGAAGGTGCAAAGCTAAAACTTACCTGCCTACCATATTCCACAGACCCTTCAGTGTCCCTATTTTCCAGGGACAGTCCTGGATTTACAGAAGCCATCCTGGTTTCTGGTTTGATCCAGGAATGTCCCACTTTTCTTTAGGATGTCTCTATTTTCATCAGAGAAATCTTGGAGGGTATGGAGTCATGCGACCTCCGAGCCAAGGAGATAAGTAACTATACAACCTTTAGAAGACATCTGAAGGCAGCTTTGTTTAGGGAAGTTTTTTTTAATGTTTTATTATGTTTTTATATATGTTGGAAGCAGCCTAGAGTGGCTGGGGCTGTTGTTGTTGTTATGGAACAGGACTTCCCTATTTTCATCAGAGAAATGGTGGAGGGTATGTATTCCACTGTCTAACTTCTTCTTACAGTTAGGATGCATCCCATCATAGCCAACGTAACAGCTGCCCTCGTATCATTTTCACACATTACTTCAACCTTTCAAGCCCTAGTAATACATTGATTTCTTCCTCTCTCTTTTTTGGAAACTGTATATCCAGGCATGTTCCTGGATCCAACTCTTTCACGGGAGATGCAGAATTCTGTGAGAACAGACAACTACCACCATTCCTGGATTGGGATTGTTTGACCCCGGTTGTCCGTGGATTAGAAACCTCACAAGTTGTGTTCCTGCAATGTGCTCTGTGTGTAAACACTCTGTTTTCAGGATTTGCACTGGCTGTGAATCTGCTACCAGGCTAAGTTCAGGGTGTCGATACTAACATATAAGGCTCTCTCTACAGCTCTGGACTAGGTTAAGTGAGAGACTACATTATCTCTTATACATCCAGTAGATAGCTGCAGTCTGCGGGAGAGTATCACCTGCAGGTTTCAAAGATCTCAGAAACCCACCTTGCAGTAACTCAGAGCAGGGCCTTCACTGTGGCTGCCCCTGATCTATGGAATAGCATTCCTGTCAGCAGGTGCCCACTAGTTGCATTTTATGAAAACAACTGAAGGCATTTTTTCCTGACAGGTTTTCCAAGCTGGATAAATGGGTATTTTCCACGAGGGCCTGTTTTGTATGGTTTTGCCTTGGCTGTTTTTGTGTTTTAACTGTTTTCAATTTCAATACAGTACATTGAGACAGGTGTTTAGAAGGCTGTTAATAAATCGACAATGATGATGATGAAAGATTATTCCCTTTCAGCCTTTCATAATCTGTCTTATTTCAGAAAATCCCTCCATTGTCTTTGCTTCTTCATATCTTACCTTTTCCATAAACGCGAGTGTGCTGCAAATCCTCCAAAATTTCATTTAGCAGGAATACTCCATTGTTCCTTACCTTGAGTTTTCAGCATTCCACTGATAGCTGCCTGAGCAATCCTCCTCCACTCTCTGTCGCGAAGACCACCTCTTCTCTGCCGGTATTAACTTACTGTGCAAAAGCCTGCCCTGCGCGGACTCCCAAAGCAGATGTGCAAGTAAAAGACCAGCCAGCTTACACTCACAATTCATCTAGTGGTTACAGAACGGCTTCATTTCAAACACATTCAGCAACCTTCAGTACCTGGGACAGGCATCTGGGGCTGGGTGTATGCGTGTGTATTTGATTGTAAGACCCTTATCTAGCGCATGCACACTAGAATACAAAACATTTCTGCCCCCCCCCGCCCCCGACTTTTGACGTGTAGAGAACATGGCCTATGTGCAGGGCGATGGGGGTGGATAGATGCCTGTAGAACTGTAGTGCATCTTAATATTTTTGAAACACACCCTCAACTTCTTAAAAAACAAAGGATGGTCAATACTGGAGCACAGATTCCAGATACCAGAAAGCACAGATTCCCCATGCGAATTAGGGACAGTGCTGGCATATGATAGGACACACACCATGTATTTAAAACACATGACTTCCCCCTCCCAAAAGAATTCTGGGCACTGTCGTTTACCTCTTTCAGAGCTAGAATTCCCAGCACCATTAAGAAACTAATGTTCCAAGGAAATCATGTGATTTAACTGTATCTTGAGCACACTGCAGAAAACAGATTCTGTTAAACTCTGTGTGTGAGGGAGAGAGCAGGAGGCCTCATAACGTACAGGAGTTAGGTTTTTGGTTCAGGAAGCACCTTTCTAAAATAGGCAGCAGTGGTAGTTTTAATTTCTGCTTACAAATGGGGAATGAGTCCTACCTAGTGAATTCATGTTTGGGCTGAGATTTTCATAGCTACTGTACTGCATGATCTCTGCAAGCCTGCTTTCAGGCATAACATTTAGGCAGTCTTAATGCAACAGGGTGGATTTCAAATTATTCCAAATTAGCATATAGAATTCCCAATTAGCTCTACTCAACTCAATAGATGTTTACACACCAGGAATCAGCATGAGTAAAAGGAGAAGAAAAAACAAAGGTAGCTATTCTGGCCAGTAAGAAACATTCTAAAAGGTTGGGCAATACCTTTCTCAGGCCAACCATAATGAGAGAATGAGCGGGAAAATGGCAAATCCAATGTAAACCAGTGTAAAGTGACACTTGTTGGAGCAAAAAAAAAAAGGGGGGGTTTAATATCACATACATACTCATAAAATGTCAACCCAGCTTACGCCAGGCCATGAAAAAGGCAAATTCCATGCCAGGGATTATTAGAGAAGGAACTGAAAATTAAAGTGCCACTATTATAATGCCATTATACAAATGGACGGTGGGCTGCATTTGAGTACTGTGTACGGTTATGGTCACGTCACCTCAAAAAGGATATTGTAGGTTGGAAAAGGTTCAGAAAAGGGCTACCAAAATATATATATTCCAGCTGGTATTTGTCTCCATCCTGAGATGAAAGACACAAATTTCTTGACAGGTGGAAAACAGAAATGAGAGGGGAACTAGTTGGAGGTTGTTGTTGTTAAAATTTCCATGCCGCCTCCATCATTTTAGGTGATACACTAAGTAATAATACAAATGGTATGGCGTGTTCAGTGACCCAGGTGGTCATTTTGAATTGATGTAATCGTCACTTAGCTCCAGACTTGCCACTTGGCAAATGGAAGGGCTCCTTCTTTTTCTAGAGGAATCTAGCTGAAGCTCCCCGCTGGAAGAAGAGGGGAGCCCATTTTTTTCCAGATTGCCTCTGCAGGCCACAGAACCACTCTCCCCCACTGTGCCAGAGAGAGCCCCCCAGCCCTTTGAAGCAGCTGTTGTGAGGCCACAGGGAGGTGGAGAAACAGACCAAAAAAATTAAAATAAACTAAACCCCCAAAGCTGTTCCCTTCCTCCAGCACAAGCAGAACTCTGCTCATTGAAAGTCTAGAGCCAGCAACCGAGCTAACTTTCCTTAAAAAAATAGCTTGTTTCAGAGATATCACATCTTCTCAGCCCTCAAACTGCTGTTTGAGTCTCCTGCTACTGTAGCGTTTTGTGACATGCGACGCTATGAGTGTCAAGTGTGCAGAAAGGTCAGGGAGGGAGATTGCGATGTGTTCTGTTTTCATCCACATTTCGTGAGTTCGCTTCCATTGTTTGGGGAGCGCCTTTTCAGGTGTCCCGTTTCCAAAGGAACTTTTGCCACGACCACCCGTGTGCTGAGCTACAGCAGATTCCTCTTGTGTTGCAAAGGATTCTGGGGCATATCCTGGCAGCTTTGGGCAGCCGTCAGGGCCCACTGCTGAGTGGACCCCCCTGGAGCCCCATTTTTAATAAATAATAATAATAATAATAATCCAACCCAGCATTCAGAGCAGCATTGGCTTGCTGAGCCAAGCTGCCAAGTCAGTTTCCCACAATGCAGCTGGCATAGCTTTGCTCTGGGGCATTGTGGGAAATTCAGCTGTTGGCTATACTCAGAGACCTTGGGATGCTACCAGATAAGTCCAAAGGGTCTCACAGACCAAGGAAGAGGCCTACCAGGATTCAGTTGGCCTAAGTCCCCCTCAGACCTGGAACCGACCCCAAACCAACCTAGTAGGCCTCACCCCACATTGCCTATCCGTGAATTGAGAGTATACCCTTCAACTCAGACTGCGTGTTGTGGGGAAGGCGGACAGTGACGGATTATGTTTTTAAAAGCCAGGTAGGTTTAAACACCATTGATTTTCTCAACAAGAAATCCCCTCACAAGCTCCAGTACTCTTAGGAACACGGCTTGAAAAGCACTGCTTTGAGGAAACCATGGGAGTATTTGTGTAGCTTTTAAAAAAGGGAGGGTGCGGAGTCAAGGTGGACAGAAATTTAAAGTTCCTCATTCCCTTTGTGGCATTCCCCCTGCATTTTGCTTTAAAAGATTAAAGGTCTTTAAAGGATGGTGCTCCCTTCCTGCCTCTGAATTTCACATCTCGCTCAATTCTTTTGAATATGTAGGAAACACGAGTGCGGCCAGGCTTTCTTCTCCATTATGTGAGGTGTGTGAAAGCACACAATTGGTGCAGGATTGCTCATATAATCGTACACATTAATATAAGGAAGGTCCCTGCCCCAAAGGAGCTTACAATCTGTATTCACTCAAGATAACATCCAGAGTTTCTTTTTTAAAGGGCAGTCCCATCTACGCCTTCTCAAAAATTCAGTGGATCACTCATTCCTGGGAAATGTGAGTGTAGGATTGCAGCCTAAAATAATCCAAACATTGTGCGATATACCTATGTTTTTCACCCTACTAATCTGGATTGAGATCACAGTACAGTAGTCACATTTTCAACAGAAAGCATTTTTTAAAAGTTGGTCCACAGTGTTCACCGGTAACTGAGAACTGTTATTATAAAAGCCACAACCTTATTTCTGGTGTTCAGAACATTACTGAAGTAATTTCTTTGTAAATTTGGTACTATGTTGTTCGGAATGGCGTAGTTTTCTTTCTTAATTTCCCCCCGGCTTTCAGAAAACCAAAGCAGCGTAGGAAAACATTCAAAATGCTGAGCATACACACATAAGCGAAATATTTTAATGTCAGTTCATATTCATAAAAGTTACATTGTTTACATAGGGTTCATTTGTATATAATAAAATTTCATTTGAATGAAAAGGGATTATTTTTTCCTTCTTCTTTTTTGGCAAGCCTGTTAAACAAATTAACATATGCTTTGGATGTACAGCTTAAGAGGAATATAGTTATCCAAAAGTCTTTTGCAAGAGAGGTTGCCTTTGAACAATTTCAAGGCCTTCGTTTCTGAAGTAGTAATAGCATTTTAACCTTCATAGCTGAAATTTAGCTATGGGTTGGATGGCGCACAGATCAAGTCTTCTATTATTATTATTTTAAAAATTGTGAAGTGAATTTCCTCATTGCATAGTGAACATGTAAACTTATTAGGGATCGTTAGGTTAACACCTTTAATGGTGTTATATACTGTATTATGTTAGCCTTCCTAAAATGATGGATAAAATAATGTAGCAGGAGAGTAAAAATCCATTAGCCATTGCCACCTTAAATACTGGCAAGGAACAAGGGTGTATTCCTCATCCACAACTCTCTCTGGCTGCTAGAAAATCTTGCTGGTTCCAAATTTTGGGAGGAAGAATTACACCACTATATCATATTTTTTTAAAAAGCCATTGGAGAACAATCCAGCCAAATTAATCATTCTACAGTCCCATAGATTTGAATGGCAGAAATGCAAGCTGAAAGTTGGCTGGATCATGCCCATAATTCATGATGGATATTCAATATCTATGTCAGTTGTGAAGAAGAAAATGGGAGAAGAAAATGAAAAGCCGGAAAAAATTCCAAGGAAGTCATTTTACATTGTGCAACATCCTTCGTTTGCTATCTAAAATGGTTCCCACACCCTTTGCTTTGGTGGGAGGGAAATGTACTGTTGCACCATTTTTGTTAAATTAAATTAATTCCAACAGTTATGTCTGTGTTAACTAGGTTTGCATCAAGTAAAATATTTATTAATGAAACTACTGTACAAGAAACATCAAAGCGAAATGCATCATACAGAAAAAGTACACTCTAGGTGACAGATGAAAAAGTGCATGCAGATTGCTTTAATTTTATTTATTTTTAAGTCAGAAAACAGAATACTAATCTTGATCCCTATTGTCTTGAATTGGTGAGAATTTTCTTCTCTGAATTTACAAAATGTCATTGAACATATATGACTAATACACATTGGCAAGCAAGATGAATGAATTTCAATTTTTGGATTTTATTTTACAGGTATTTTTGCTTGACAATTGTGAGTTCTTTTAAATATTGTGTTTGTTTGTTTTAAAAAAGGAAGAATCTTCTCATATTGGACTGGGTGGTACTGCCAGGTTGCTCTGATGCCATACACAGCCTTCAGGTTTTTAGTTAGACACCGTCAAATAACATATGTTGTGTTAACATTCAGGAAATGACATTGAGTCTATTTTTAAAAAAATTATTTTTGGCTCAATAAATTTTAAATGTATGGTTTATCATAACCTAATATTGTCTTTGTCTTCACTGCAGTGGATATCCGATCAAACTTTCCCCTTCTTTTAATACTTTAGGGAATTTTCAAACGTCGGGATGTTTGGCTGTAATGCCCCAAGATTTGTTCTCCCTGAAAGAAATCATAGTGACAATTTATTAAACTACAGAGCAACCTGGCTTTTAGGGGTCTGTACTTTTAGATTGTGCTCAATATACCTAGCAACTAAATTGTGATGCATTTCATCATCATTATTTGTTATATTTTTCATGCAATTACTTCCGCTTCTAAAGTGCCTGGGGTTGGGGGTTTGGTTTATATATATATTTTACTTTTAAAAGAACATGGTCAACCTGACCCTAAACACAAAAGGCCACAATCCAGTACGAGTTGCTTGTGATTTACAACATAATCCTATACACATTAACTCAAAAGTAAGCCCCATTGAGTTTAGTGGGGCTTACTGCCAAGTAAGTGGGTATAGGAACGCAGCCTAAGTCCCACTAAATGCAATGGCATCCATTGATTTCAATAGTGCTTCGTTTTCACTAACATTTCGGATTGTACCCCACAATAGCTTAGAAGTAGGTCCCACTGATTTTCAATGAAACATAAACTTCCAAGCAACTGACCCAATCCACTTAAAGTTAGTTGCATTTGCTTTCAATGGGACTTGACATAGGTTAGTCGCAACTACTTTATCCAATTCATTTCAATTGGATTTAAGCACAACTAATGTTCATTGCATCAAAGCCACTGTGTTTAGCATTGCAGCCTAAGACAGGGTTATAATAATCAAATCAGTGGGGCATTACTTTTCTTTTTTAAATAAAAAATAAAAACCTCTGAAATTTCATCATGGATATGTACTAGGAAGCAAAAACTTTAAAATAAATCCTGTTTTAATATAGCACTAAGATTACTGTGTCCACCATCACACACTCACACATACAGTAAAAGCAACACAACACACTGCCATGGGTAAGACTCCATTAAAAAAAAAGATGAAGACAAAAATTGATGGTAAATAAAACTCCTTCAATTCAAAATGGTTTATTCACACAAATTTAATAGGATATATCACAATTGTTTGGTCCATAAATATTTAGGGGAAATAGTTTCTATACAATGCATTTCTCAATAAAACAAAGAAACATGGACAAGTTTGCTAGACCACTTAACTGTACTAGAAACACGAAGCTCAATATATAAGATTATTGAATTTATCAACTATATCCGAAAGAGTGCACAACTGCTTTCTATGACATGTTTGTCCCCTCTACCAGGATATACACCATAAAAAGAGTTTCAGAAATAAGAGGTAAAACAGTACAAAACTAGTGAGGTGTCAAAAGGGCTTAAAACAGTTAATTTAACAAACAACACATATATATCCTGATTTTTTCCCCCACAAGCTTACTCCCAAGTTATCGCATAAGGCACATTGTAGAACTGAGTTATAATTAGTCTACTTAATAAAGTAGATCTATAGTACCATATAGTTGTTCTGTCAAAGAACAAAATTTATAAGTATCAATATTTTTTTTTGTACCTGTAAAAGTGTATTAATAAAGATCTCAGCCTCTCCAAGGTTGTTTGGTCTGGTTAGTGGTAAATGCCCATAAGGTAAGAGAAACAGGAAACGTCCAAGGTTGGCACCTCAATCCTAAATGTATCAACTTGGAAGTAAATTCCACTCAAGTCATTTGAACTTACTTCCATCTAAACACGCTTCAGGTCAGCAAGCCTTAAGCGTTCTAGAAGATGATGACCACACTTGCTAAATATATAACGACAAAGACACATTTTCCTCTGTTACAGTGTTAACATCTCTTCCATTGTTTTTTTTAAAAAATAAGCTACTTTTCTGTGCTAATTTTCTAAAAACCCTGAGCAAAAGTTACAATAATGCACTTTAATGTGGGCAGTGAAGTGTCAGTATGTATCCACGCATTAGTAGAAAACAACAAAAAGAATTCCTTTCTTTTAATACCAAAAAATAATATTTAAAATGAAAAAGGAGATTCTACTGAAGGGAGGTTTGGAGGAGGAGGAAGGGGTAAAATCCAAAGTACTTGTGCAAATGTTAATCTTAACAATCCACCCAAAGCAATATCTTCTTGGCGGATTTTGGTTTGGTTCTGGAGTGTCTCCCGTGTCTAATTAGGGGGTTACTGGAATAAAGGATACAAATGAACATTCACCACTGCCCAGACCATTCAGACTTTTAGCTTAAATTAAAAAAATAAAATAAAAACAAACACTTGCAAATGTAAACTAGGAAAGGTATTTCCAATTAGCAATGCATCCACAAGGCTTCTGAGTTTGGCAGCTTCAATGATTGCCAGCTTTAAATCCCTAGGGGTTCCCCCCCCCAATGCATTTTCTCTTCTTCTACATTATTTTTTAAGGGAAAAGGCTAGATTTAGCACAGAGCCCTTTAATTTAAATGGGTTCAACATGCTTGGATATGTTGCCAGTGTGTCTATCAATGTACATGGTAGTGTGTTTATTATATAAATACAAGTATACACACGTATAGAGATATGAACTGATGATTTGTAGAGGGCACCGTTTAGCAAAAGTTTGCCATGATTCTCGCTCCTTTGGAAGCCACGGAACAGAACTTAGTAACAACTAGCCGAAGTTCTGTTGATTTTAATGGGCCTTGTTTAACCAGGTCTGGTGCATGTTTACTTGGAAGTAAGCTCCACTAAGTTCAAGTGGGCTGACTTCTAGGCAAGCATACAGCTGCAGTCTTACATTTGCTGGTTTGTGCCTTTTGAAGTTAATACATTAACGTGGCAGACAGACACCATCTCATGGGAAAAAAATCAGAAGGATGCTCAAGACAGCAATGAATACAAGATACTGGAATCAGCTTTTAAACGTCTTAAGAAATTATATTTTGCTTATTTCCATCTGTTACCTTAATAGTGGGTAGGAACATTCGAGCCAGAATTGTGTTTGTGATTTTGTAAAAGAAAAACCAACAGCACCTCCTCCCTGATCTCAGGTATGTTCCAGCCAGTCCCATTAAAACCTAAAAGTGTTTCATGTATGCTGGATTTCAGGAGCAGGAGAAAAACGCAGCTCAGAAACGTTTCAATATTCAATTGTTTAGCCGCCATCCCCAAGCCTCTTAACCCAGAGCAAGCTAATTCATTTCAATGGAACTAGCCCAAAGCAAGCATATAGAGGACTATAGCCCTTTTTATAATACCCAGGCTTGCTATGAAGAAATATTGTCCTCAAACTACCCAGATGATTCAAGCTCTATTCACTGGCCCTCCAATTTTAAACACTTTAGGAGTGATCCAGCCAAAGCTAAACCCAATAAAGACTCCTAGTAGTTCTGTGGGAGACAGATTTAACTCTCTTGCTGAAATCAATGGGACCCAAAGTGTTTAGTTTTGTGTGGAGTGCGCCAATTACTTGTTCCATTCTAAATCAATGAAATCTTGATCGGATATTTGTTTGCTCCAAACATGGGTGCCAACTTGAATAAAATATTGGGGGGGGGTTAGCTCTGCCCAGAATAATTGATCACATGCCACAGTGCACACACACCATTTGAATGGCAATGCCCATCAATGGGGGGGGGCCCTCAAATATTTTATGGAGGGCAAAGACACACACACACTGCCCCCTAGGAGTTTGCTCTTGTGGCTCCAAAGTAAATCCCACTCATCTGAATTAGGAATATTCCCAAGTGTGCATAGAATCAGGGGGAGTTGCATCTAAAATGGGTATGTTAGAAGAAAGTCAAGTTGGTGCTGTCTAAGCAGTAGGAACTTCACAGCTATGAAGTGCGTAAACTCAGCTGGGGTTTTAAACATACCAAAGAGTTGTATAATTGAACTGTGGAGTCTTTCTCACACAGACACAACTTCTGAAAACAAATTGTCACTTCCTTCTAGGGGAACTTTCTACAAATTCTTGATGAAAATGTGGTAGTGGGAAATTGGATCTGGCCTTCAAGTCACTAGCTAGTGACCTGAGCTGGACCCAACCATCCATCTAAGAAAGTGTGTAGGACTTCCCACCAGTGACTGCTAATATGTGAAGACTTGATTTCGTAGTTTCTTGGATTTATACTCCACCCTACCCAGGACACACTTTCCCCATCTGATTTCCTAATTCACCTACATTAGGCCTGATAATAACTGTGCAAACTTCAATTAAACAAAACAAAAACCCCTACTGTTATGCATTAACAAAAATCTTACAAGGGTTTTGTCTGCATAGAAAATAAAAAGCAACAAAATTTAAATGTCCTGATCATAAAATAATAGCCAGCATTGGTGACCTATATATGTTTTTGGACCCCAGCTCCCATCAACTGATGGTGGCTGATGCTGTCCCATCAATCTCTGGAGGGCATCACTTAAGTTGCCCCTGCTACAAAATGAGGATTAGGAACCTAAAACTTAAAGTTGTTCCCATACAATCTTTCAGTGGTGATATACTGGTGTTGATTGAAAATGGCCACAGTGTTTTATACTAAAAAAAAACCTGACTGGCCACAGAAGACTAGGCCAGAGTGAGGACATACTGACCTCAGGATATTAAAAGCACAGACCATCTACAAGTCAAGGTGCAGATGGTGGTATTTGAAGGGTTGAGACCCATGTTTACTTGCAAACCAGCCCTACCTCCAGGATTCTTGATATCCCCATGTTTGAGGGGGAAGGCAGACCCAGATCTCTTACCATAGCCCTGTACCTGAGGCAGGGTGGAAGGAATCATTATTCCAAGTAATATGGAGATGACCTCAGGGTGAAAGAACTCTCTGTGAGTATTGACTCTCTAGTACCTAGTCATCTGTCTGCACCCCAGTTCACATCCTATGCAGTAGCTACTTTCCCCTTCCGCCTTCGGTGGCTCTCTTTGGACAGCACTATCTGTCAGCTGCCTGCCGGGTTGGCAAGTCAGCACACACCACCACTCTGGTACATCTGGCAAATGAGTTGGAAAAGTGAGCCACCATGGACCAAAGAGGAAAGAGGAGAATATCTGACATAAGCTCAGCCGTCACACATGCCATTGTGACTTGCAAACTGTTAAGAGGTATATACTCCTGACATCTATTTTAATTGCAGAAGCTACCTGTCTGCACTTTTGTAAATGAGTCAGATTTAGAGCAGAAGTTGTTGAACTCCAACTCCCATCAGCCCTAGCTGCAGTCCAAACAACACCTGGAGGGCCACAGGTTCCCTATCTCCAATTCAGAGGCAGCTTTTAAGGCTGCAAGTTGGACCACGTGCATACCATACATTGAAAGCACATTTATACCACTGTAACAGTCAGTTCCCCACCACCGCAAGAAACCTGGGAACTGTAATTTACCTCTCACAGAGCTACAGTTCCCAGCACCTTTAATGAATTGCAGTCTCCAGGATTCTCTGGGGAAAGTCATGTGCTTTAAATGGACGGTGTGACCTATCCTCATTTACATAGAATTATGTTCAGCTGATGTCAATGGGAGGCCTAGCCCTGTTATGTGGCAGAAGGGAACAACTGCCTCAGGTGGCAGATTTGGGGGTGCTGAATTTGCTGACCTTTACTGCCAGACTTTCTTTCTCAGGCACCAAAACACCTCAACCTTATTTGACCGACAGGAATTTCTGACATGTTTATATGTTCTTTAAGGATAAGCTTGAGGATAACAATCCATGCCTTTTTTTTAAATAACACAATTTTCTGACTTCCATGGTAACCATTCACCCACCCCCATAAAAAAAAATCTGGAAATAAGGAACATACAATTTTAAGAGGCACTTAATAGAATGATTCAATAGTTTCCCTTTAATTAGGCAGTGGTTTTAAAAAAAATTCCAAGACAATTTAGAGACAAAGAATACGTAGTTGTAGAACAGAAGTCTGTTACTGCAAACTCATTTACCAAGTGGCTGCAGATGCTACCGACCAAGCTGGTTTTCCCCAAACATTTTGTGGGTTTGTTTTTCTTTCAAAAAATAAAAAGTCTTGCAAATAATATTATTAATAATATAATTATAATAATAATGGAGAAAGAAGAAGAAGAAGAAAAAAGTAAGAATATTTCTCTTTTTTTAAAAGTCAAATGTTAGAAAAGGTTTGTTAAGGTAGTTTGTGAGGGGCTTCCGGAATCGTGGCTGTCCAAGTTAGAGGTCACTGATGACACTACAGTGATAGTGGGATTGGTCAGGTCTGTTAAAGTGGTCGCAGTGCCGGGTGGAGTGAGAGCGCCGCTGTCTGCTGAGGGCGGGGCCGGAAGCGACGTGCCGTCAGCTTTATCAACACCCCCATTCTCCTGCCGCAAAAGGTTCCTTCTGAATTTGGCTCGTGCGTTTTGGAACCAAACCTGCAAACCAATCCCAGTTGATTTCTTTACCAATGTTTGCCTTTTGATTTTGATGGTTTTCATAGAAATCATAGAATTGTAGGGTTGGAAGGGACCCCGAGGGTCATCTAAGTCCAACCCACTGCATTGCAGGAATCTCTTCGTTTCTCTCTCTTTCGTAGCAGTTTAATGCATTTTAAGGGGTGTTTCGGTGGCCCTTTTATAATTATTATTATTATTAGCAAATCCTCTCTTCCAGGCTTTCCACCCACCAATTAACTCTTTTGATACCAACTTGTCTTATGGGAAATGCCTTCAGGCCCCTGTGTGTTGTGGCTGATCCTAGGGCATGGTCACTTCAGGCACAGCACTACCGAGGCGGCTGTGGCGCCTTCATTGCTTCGTCTGAACTGAGAGGGCAGTGCTCAGATTACATGGGGGGAGGGCCTTGATGAAATCTATAATCCGCACCCACTCATCCACCCACTTTTAAGCTTAGCTAAAAGCTCAGGCCGCCTGTATCATTTTTACATCGTAAAAATGCCCCTCAAAACACACCAACACACAATACTTTCCTTCAACTGTGCATTGCAGAGAGAGTTTGATAGAGGCAGACAAGGAACCTTTCAGAAAAGCTTGCTTGCCATTACTGACCTTCTCCCTAAGGAACTTCTGATGTGTTCCTACGAAGTCCCAGTTTCCCTGGGACACAGCTGGAAAACCACCGATCCACATCATAATTGGAGTCATTATTTTTTGGCTTAGATTTGTTCTGTTTAGAATGCTAAGCCGAAATCTATAGCTACTAATCCATGTCTTTCTCCAGGATACGGTGAAGCGCTGCTGGAAACTGACCTGAGAAATTCTGCTCAATTATTCATGCTAGAAGATCATTGTTTTGATGGGTATGTAATTTAGCTCTTTTCTCATCTCTGCTACAATATCTGGGTTTACTACCCCAAACACAATTCTTAGGGTGGAATTCAGTGTCACATTATGGTGCTTCTCCTGTCATCCCAAGCATTCCTGCTTGCCAGATGGAACTCCCCTCTCCTCCCCCCCCAACCCCCCCCACAAACTGTTCTGGGGGTTCTCCAGAACTCATTGCACAGGTTCACATTCATGCAACTGTTTAGTTGAATCCAGCCCTCGGTGTTTTATCCACCAAAGTGGTCCCATCAGTGCAAGGACTTCCACCTGCACAATGGTGCTTTCCCTCCTCTTACCCCCCCAACTCTCCCAAATTACTTCTGGGGGGTCTGAATAACCCTCAGAACAGAGGAGTGGGGTGCAGGGAAGGGAATTTATTTTGTGCAAGCGGAAGTCCTTGTGCTAACTGGTTAACTTTTTTGGACACAGCCCTAAAAGTTGTATTTGGGGTGGTTAACTTACACAGACATTTTAAAACATGAAGAAGAAATGCAAAGAGAAAGAAGCTATCTCCCAATAATGAACTACTTTTCTTACACTCTTTGCATTCTGTTTCACTATCAGGTGAGTTAATGCTTTTGCTCAGACACTACTTTCCCTTTGCATATACTTTGCTTAATTTTATTTAAATATCTTCCATTCATTGGTGGTGGTGGTGGTTGATGGTTTCTACGAAGCTGGCTTACAAGATACGATAAACTATGGGCAATTTAAAGGTATGATTAATTTATTTTTTACAAATGGGGGAAAGCCGCCCTGAGTCTAATTATCATTCTTGCATGGTGATCATTTATTTTCACTGAGTAACTCAGCAGACAGACCTCAGATCTATCACATTCCCAAGAATAACCCAAAGTTGATCAATGGGAAACATTCCTAAGAAATGCTCAGTTTGTGGGAAAAGTCAGGTTAAAGGTGGGTTTTTTCCCTACATAATCAGCAAACCTGTGAGATTTATCTCTTGCTGGATTACACTACTATGGGCTTCAGGAGTAGCAGGGTCAAATGTTTGAATGCGTCCCAAGCAGAGTGAAAATTAGCATGTAAAGGAGAAGACCAAGCTAGCACCTCCTCCCTGACATGCTAGCTCTATATGTGGAGACAAGTTATTTTTTTCTGGAAGGACACTGAGGAAATCTATCCCCTGCCCACATTCTAAAATGGTACAATCCAGCAACAGATGTGTCACATGGGGCTACTGATCATGCATAGCAGCCCTCCATTCTGTTTAATAGGGAGGCCCCTTAACGGACCAAAAAAAATGGGGAACTTCCATAATGAAAAATTACTATAGGGGGAAACAAAAGTTTGCACTCAATGGCTTGACTGGATGCCCAAGAATTGTAACTTTCCTTTGCCTTCAACAAAGCCTACTAGTTCCTGTTTTGGTTAAGAAGGATACTACAAGAAGGTCCTACCCTGATGAGAGCAGAAGATCTGCTCTTCTGAGGGCTGGATGCTCCTTCAGCGCTGGGAGGTGTTGGCCCTGGAGGGTAGCATCATGCTTCCCTTGAACATTCCCTGGGTGCATTTGGATCTGAAGGTATACATGTTTAGCCCTGAACCCTCTGTATCTATGGAGGGACACAACTCAATGAAGCCTAGCACAAGGGTGATAGAAGGCGTTGGAAGTAAGGGATGTGCTATTTTGAAGTGGAGGGGGGGAGTTTTGTAATGGAAGGCTCTTACCTGCAGAACTCTCTTAGTTAGGCCCGTCTTCTGGGCAAGCTGCTTGAGGTCCTTGGCATCTGGGTTGTGGTTAATAGCAAAGTAGGACTTCATGGTGCGGAGCTGGTGGTGCTTGAAAGAAGTGCGCATGCGCTTGGTCTTCTGAGATGGGGGATAAGGCTGCTGGTCTCTGTCCAGGTGGTCTGCCTCGTTCTCATTGCAACCTGTTTGGAGAAGCCACAGAAAACGCCCGAAGAGTTGGGTGGAGATCCTACATGAACATCTCAAGCAAGCAGGTGCCATGGAGGGGAAGGGCCATAGCTCAGTGGCAGAGCATCTGTTTGGCATGCAGAAGGTCCCAGGTTCAAGCTCTGACACTTGCAGGTAGGGCTGGGAAAAGACCCTTGCCTGACACTCTGGACAGCTGTCAGTGTAGACAATAACGAGGTATATGGGCCAATTGTCAGACTCAATATAAGGCAGCTTCTTATGTTCCTAAACCTTTTTTAAAAAATAAGGGAGAAGAGAAGGCAAATATATTTCCCCTAAGTATGGGATTACATGTTTACCAGGCCCATATAATACTGTGGTGTGTTACATTGCCTGAATGCAGTATTGTTGCTACCCTCTTCAAAGAGCACATCTATATGTCACGCCAAATAAGATGGTACAATATTGGACTACCACACTTCAGACAACAGGTAAGGGGAAGTGCATTTTTGAATGCTCTTGCAGGATTAAAATAGGAATAAAGGTGGTGCCTGAATGTAATATACTAATGTATCCGAGAGAAAGATTTAATATAGCATACCCTGCAACATTTCTCCAATGAAAATAGGGACATCCTATTTTTATTATTATTATTATTATTATTATTATTATTATTATTATTAATACCCCACCCATCTGACTGTGTTGCCCCAGCCACTCTGGGCAGCTTCCAACATATATAAAAACATAATGAAATGTTGAACATTAAAAAACTTCCCTATACAGGGCTGCTTTCAGGTGTCTTCTAAAGGTTGTATAGTTATTCATCTCCTTGGCTCTACATCCATACCCTCCAACATTTCTCTGATGAAAATAGGGACATCCTACCATAGCCTCCAAGATTTCTCTGATGAAAATAGGGACTTCCTAAGGACAAGTGGGACACTCCAGGATCAAATCAGAAACCAGGACAGTTTCTGTAAATCTGTGACTGTCTCTAGAAAATAGGGACATGTGGATGGTCTGACGTAGACCTCTCCCTGATGCATTAGCTTACAATATGCAGGGAAGCATTTTGTTTTATTCTTAACATGGGGAAGCATTAAGAAATATGACACGGAGGCCATTTTCATTCCATGGACATAGCTAGGGGAGTGCAGGGGGCAGCTGCCTCTCCCAAATCAAGTAAACATATAAAAAATACTTAACCAAACTGACCAACTGTGTCACAGATAACTCAGTTCTGCCCCCCCCAACATAAAGCCTGTCCCCCTAAAATAAATTCTGGCCACCCCCATGTTTCATACCGTGCATTTAAATCACCATAATACCACTTTAAACAGTCATGGCTTCCCCCAAAGAATTCTGGGAGCTATAGACCCCTATTCCCCACACAGAACTGCAGTTCACAGAGTGATTTATTGGACAGTCTCCGTTCTCAGGGAATTCTGGGAGTTGCAACTCTGAGAAAATGGGTCTCCTAACAACTCTCAGCACCCTTAACAAACTACATCTCCCATAATTCCTTGAGCGAAGCCATAGCTGTTTAAAGTGGTATCATGGTGCTTTAAATGTGTGGTGTGATAGTGGCCAGGGAGGGAGAGAGGCTCCACCAGCAAAAGGCTGAGACAGAAGTGGTACAGTCCATAATTCTCCCATTTCATTTCATATTAAACCCCAGAATAGTAAGCGAAATCACTTGTGGGTGCAGGGGGAGAAGTGCTGTTTAGGCGGAAGTGCCAAAGGGTCCACCTTGGCCTTTTCCTGTTTTAAACATTTATTATGTTCACTGCTTCCACATCTGTTAAGGGAGCCGGTGTTTTGAGAAGAAGCCTGCCAGGTTTCACTCCTTTTGCATTATTATTTAAGGGAAGCCTCTTCCCCGGGGGCAAGGAAGAGCTTTGCAGCATGTTCCCAAGGAATTGTTTAAAATCTCGCTCAACATTTTGAACAGCAAAAGGGAGGAAAAATTCACTCACAGAAATCGGCCAACTGTGGCAAGAACTGAACGTTGCACAGCCCTCTCATGTGCTGCTGACATCCTGAGACTTTCTCTACCTGGCACAGGAGGGGGCAATGGGCACCAGAGGAGGAGGAGGCCAAAAGTGACGGGAGCAGTTAACCTCCCCTCAACCACCGCCGCTCCCCAGAAGTTTGCCCAACATTTCTCTGATTAAAATAGGGACGTCCTATTCTAATAATAATAATACTCCAGCACCAGCACAGAGGCTTAAACATGACCTCTGCCCTGTCTCTCCCTTTAGTTCTCTTAGATTCTCCTCCCCTTGGCCTCGGAAATGTAGGAGGTGTCAACAAGCACCCAGTTTCTCCTCTTCCATGCATGAGACTCTTAATCTCATGGCTGTGAGTTTGAGCCCCACACTGGGCAAAAGACTCCCACATTGCAGGGGTTTAGACTAGATGACCCTCGTGGTCCCTTCCAACTATGATTCCTTGCCTCCCAGAACTAGAGCAAAAGCCAGGACTGGATCTTCCTCCCACCTGCACCTGCCATACGTAGGGCTACAAGCATTGCAATCCGACAAGCGTTCCCTGGATGGATGCTTACACAAGAGCTTCTGCTCTGCAACTCTGATAATGCATCTTGCTTGTCTGAGTGGAGGGTGGAGGAGCTGTACGTGAGGGGAGCGCGCACAGAAACCTGTGATTTGCGTGCGGCTGGAATGTAGCCCTGCCAGTGTTGTACCCATTGCTCGGCCCACGTTTGCCTTTGGCTGCACCCCCGCTGGCATGTGCCTCCCCTCAAAAGTGGCAGATGAGGGAATGTGACTCTCAGGAAGGGTTCCCCATCCCTCACACACACAAACATTACCAGCAAGTTTGAGCAGCAGCTTCAAGAAACTGGCATGTAGACTCCCACATCCTGGGATAGTCAGTTGGTACAGCATGAGACTCTTAATCTCAACATTGTGGGTTCAAGCCCCATGTTGGGCAAAAGATTCCTGCATTGCATGGGCTAGATGACCCTTGTGTCCAACTCTACAATTCTATGTCTTTAGGGTTAAAAACGTGGTTGGTCGGTTTCGTGTACACGCAATGAGCTGTGACTCCCAGCATGTGTGCATTCTAAGTAAAACAGCCTGCATCTCAGATTACTATGCAAGTTGCATCCTAAACCTATACTGATATGGTGGCAATAGGAATTCTGCAATGTGTAATGATGCTGTATACCAGGCCTGTGCAAATTACAAGCCTGGATATCAAGTGCAGACTGGCTGCCGTTAAGGGCAGCCTATTAGGAGCTGGGCACAACTTTTTGTTTCACTGCCTTCCAGAGATTTTTTTTTTTGGGGGGGGGGGAGGCCAGTAATCTTACTCAGTTTGACAGATCCCAGTTCTGTAAGCCTGGCCTACATGCATACTAAACCAGGTCAGATTATGAAGTGATGAAGAGTTGTTTTGTACAGTATAGGATTCTAGGGTGGAATTAACCCTGTAAGCAATTCACACACAGCTGTGACATTGAAAGTCCTGTGTGGGGGTAAGAAACAGACATGAGTTGTTGGCTCAGGCCTGCCACCACGACACTTAGGAAACTAGATCACACCAAGTCAGATCATTAGCACAGTATTACCTACACCAATGGAGGAAAGGTTATTCAGGGTTTCAGGCATAAGAGTCTTTCCCAAGGCTGGTTCATACGCAGCCACAGCATGTAGCACCTGCACAGAAGTAACCTTCTGATTGGTGGCTCCACCCTGCCACATATGGAACACAAATGTGTGCCACAAGGTCCAAATAAACCCACAAGCCTCATTCACCCTTGCCCGTCCTTTTCCCGACAGCAATTAGCCTGATGGGTCAATCCTACACACACATGCATGGATTCTTCTCTCACTGTATGCTCTCATGCACCCGTCCCTGATAGTCTAGTGCAGAGCTTTCCAAACTGAGTATCGCGACACGTTAGCGTGTCGGCTGCAGTGTGTAGGTGTGTCGCGCGAACACTCCCCATGCTCCTCCCGGGGCTGGAAAGGGGTTAGTTTAACCTCCAGTTTGCTAGCAAAACTGAATTCCCGTGTCGCAAAATGATGCATGTCTAAAAAGTGTGTCACCAACATGAAAAGTTTGTACAGCTCTGGTCTATTGCCTAGGATTAGTCACTTTCGCAGCTATGACTCACTCTTTGAGGAAGGGGTGGGACTCCATGGCAGCGTACGTGATTTGCATAAGAAACATCTCCAGGGCTGGAGGTGCTTCCAGATGGGTGTTTATTCTGGGGAATGGGTGCTCCTCATGCATGCACCTTTCTTTCCTTTTCTGCAAGGTCCACGCAAAATTATTGTCATTAAAAATTACCAGCCTGTTTCTTCTTCTTCTCATTTTAATCCAGATTTGCACTTCCCAAGGGAAACTTGCAATATCTCAGCAATCCATTTACAGTATTAAGTCCCCATCTCGAAGCACCTATAGTTTGGATTCACAAATGAATAGGTGGTAGTACTAGAAAAAAAGGCCAGTGTGGAAGCTCCTGCTTCAGTTTCCAGCACTGATAAAACAGGAAGAATAATAACCAGTGTCACAGGAAGCTCCTCCACACGTCCTCTTGTTCTGCTGCTTTCCCCGGGAAGCCCACTCCTTACTGATGAATTAGAGCAAACGCCGATAGAGTTTCCCACAGGTTGATGTTGGCTCCGATTCAGCGGTAAAGAGCAGGCTTCCCCAGGAATAGCAGCAGGGGGGACAGAAAACCGTTCAGCTTTCTAGGCATGGGACAAGCAAAGTGGACAAACCCAGGGTGTCTGAGAAATTTGGTTGTGCGCTAACAGCACAAATCTGTGCATGCATACCCAGACGTAGGCTCAACTGAGTTCAGTGAGACTTAACTCCTAGGTAAGTGTGCATGAACTGCAGCCCCAAACTGATACATATATTAATTAGAAACCATGGGAAAACTGACTGCAGAGAGATAGCATTGTCAACTTTAAAGTAACATAACGGTTCTTAAACTTTGTACTGGGGATCACTATATTCCAGCTTGCTTTCTCTCTGT